TTGAGTCACTCCCCAGCCCTGTTTTGTGTTGGTATTTTCAAGGATAGGTCTCAAGAACTATTTGCCTGGGCTGGCTTCAAACCACAATTCTTCTGATCTCTGCCTCCCAAGTACCTAGCATTACAGGTGTGAACCACCACCCAGCTTGTACACTATTAAATGGTATCAATCTAAAACCAGACTGCTATAAATTGAGTGTTAATGTAATCCCTGTGAAAAAATTAGAATGAGGTAAAAGAAATAAGGGAAGTAAAATTGTTCACTGGGAAATAATATATTTTTTTCAAACCCTGAAGTCTGCTTAGAGGAAAATAATATATTTAACACAAAAGAAGGCAGTAATAGAGGAACTAAGGTCCAAAAAAAGGTATAAGACATATAAAAAGCAAATAGCAAAGTAGTGGAAGTAAATACTTTCTAATTAGCAATTACATTAAATATCAATAGATTAAACTCTCCAATTAAAGGGCAGAATAGATTTTAAAACAAAACAAGCTGGAGATATAGCTCAGTTGCATAGTACTTGCCTAGCATAAGCAAAGCCCTCGGTTCAATCCCTGGCACCACATTAAAAAAAGAAGGGAAAGAATATTTGGACTGGGAGTATAGGTCAGTGACAAAACACCTGTTTATCATGTGTGAGGCTCTAGGTTCAATCCCCAGCCCCTCCAAAAAACAAGGGCAAAGGAAAGGCTAGCTGGGTGAGATGGCTCACACTGTAATCCTAGCTACTCAGAAAGCAGAGATCGGGCCAGTCCAGGCAAAAGTCTTGAGACTGTATTCATCTAATGTGGTGTGGCGGTGTGCATCTGTCATTCTAGCTACTCAGAAAGCTTAAATAGGCGGACTGAGGTTCAGGCCAGCCTGGGCATAAATGCAAGACCCTAGTCAAAAAATAACTAATGTAAAAAGGACCAGGGGCATAGTTCAAGTGGTAGAATGCCTGGCTAGCTTGAGGACTTGAGTTCAAACCTAAGTACTGCCAAAAGAAAAAAAACAGGTACAAAGATATCTATATATCTCTCTATATATATAGATCTATATGTCCTACTACTTTCTATATCTCGCTACCTATATAGATACAGATATAGATATTGATAGATATAGATATAGGAAGTAGTAGGACAGAGGGGCTGGGAAGTATAGTTCAGTGGCAGAGCATGTGTCTAGCATGTGTGAATTCTGGGTTGGCTCCCCTGGACCACAGACACACACACACACACACACAAAGTAGAAGGATGCAAAAAGATATTCCATGCCAACAGTGAACAAAAGAGAACAGTAATGACTATCCTAATAACAGACAAAATAGAGTTAAGACACAATTGTTACTGGAAACAAGAGAATCATAGGATGATAAAAGAATAAATCCATCAAGAAGAAACAACTGAGTCCTAAAATACATGAAGTAAAAAACTGCCAGAATTGAAAAGAAAATTAGACAATTCAATAATAATAGTCGAAGACTTCAATACCCTACTTTCAATAATGGTCAGAACACTGGCAAGTAAATAGAAGCATACCAATTGAGCAGCACTACAGACCAATTAAACCTGCCAGACTTACAGAACAAACAATAGGAGAAAATACATCCTTTCTGAGTCCATCTAGAACATTCTCTAGAATAGGTCATATTAGGTTATCAATTTTTTTGCTCCCCCCACCCTTAGGACATAAATTTAGGATTTAAATCAACATATATATCCAATCATAGTGAAATAGAATTCAAAATAACAGGAAGATATTTGGGAAATTCACAAATACATGGATATTATACTGATAATACTGATACAACAATGGGTCAAAAGAACAAAAACCACAATGGACTTTAGAAAATACTTTGAGATGAATGAAAGCAAAAACACAATATACCAACCATAGAGGATGCAGTGAAAAAGTACAAGAATGAAATGACTGTAATTTAATATTTTAAAAGGATGTTGGAGCCAAGCGCCAGTGGCTCACACCTACTTAGGAGGCAGACATCAGGAGGATCACAGTTCGAAGCCAGCCTGGGCATAATAGTTTGCAAGACCCTATCTTGAAAAAACCCTTCATAAAAATGGGCTGGTGGAACGGCTCAAGGTGTAGGCCCTGAGTGGAAGCCCTAGTACTGCAAAAAAGAAAAAGAAAAGATCTTGGGCTGAGGATAGCTCAGTGGTACAGTTCTTGCCTAGCATGCACAAGACCCTGGGTTTGATCCCTAGTACCACAAAAAAATTAAATTAAAAAAACCCCTAAATCAACAATCTAACCTTCCACCTTAAGAAACTAAAAAAAGAACAAACTAAGTACAAAATAAACAAAGACAATAAGCTTAAACTACAAATAAATAAAGAATAAAAAAATAACGGAGAGAACCAAAAGTTGTTTCTTTGAAATGACTGATTAAGGAAAACAAAAAAGAGCCAGGAGTCTGTGGTTCACACCTGTAATCATAGCTACTCAGGAAGCAGAGATCAGGAGGATTGAGGATCACGGTTTAAAGCCAGTCTTAGGCAAATAGTTCTCCAGACCTTATCTCAAAAAACCCACCTCAAAAAAGGGACTGGTAGAGTAGTTCAAGTGGCAAGAGTACTACCCTCAAAAGCAATAGCCCTGAGTTCAAATCCCAGTGCTGCCAAAAAAGAAAAAAGACTCCTGTTACTAAGATCAGGAATGAAAGAGGGAACAATACAAACCTGACAGATACAAATTGGCTAGAACATCTGTGTTTTTCAGAAGCACAAATGTGGAAGAACTTGGGGGAGACTTTTGGTCTCTCATTTTTTTACTATAAATTTTTTATTAGGATATATTCATTATACGGGGGGGTTCATAGTGACAATTCCGATTAGACTCACATTGTACATTATTTACATTGCCCCCATCATCTCTCCTCCTCAACTCTCTCCCCACTCAATTGCAAGAGGTTTTTTTAGCTCTGTTTCATATAGGTATATGAAGTCCATCAAACATTTACCATCACCTTGATCTCCTTCCTTCACTTTCCCCTCTCTCCCCTCATTTTTTAAGTGAAAGAGACTTGGAAATTTCAGACTTGCCTCTTGTAAAAGGAAAGAAAATCCTCTATAATAGGTATTCTCCAGGATGAGCTAATGCCCTTGAAAATAGTAACAACAGCCAGAACATATAAACAAGAAATTGAGTGTATTAAAACCAAAATATTTCTTCACCAGAGTATTTTTCACCTCTAATACACTGTGAAGAAGCCAGACACCCTTCACAGTAACAACTGACACCTGGTTAACTTTCCTTTTAGACTTAACTTATACTGCCATCTTGTGGCAACGTTTTTGTGGTACTGGAGCTTGAACTCAGGGCCTTGCCCTTGCTAAGCACTATCACTTGAGCCATGCCCCTAGTCCATCTTGTGGCAATTTAAAAAACTCAAGTCAATTATTTTACTCAGAAGTTGTCCTCCATCTCCTAACCATAAGTTTTCAGTAGCTTTCTATCACTCAGCTTTTAATTTTCCACTTATCAGTTTAAGAACAAAAAATAACATTACTTGAAAACTTGTAATGTATGTCTGGATACCTGGAATTACTGTCTGGAAAAACAAAGTGAAGCAGCATTATACTATGCATAGAAAATCAGAAATGTGCTGGTTTCTGCACAGAATATGCTGATTTCAGACACTTTTCCCCTCCTCTTACCAGTATAAGCATTTCTGGGAGTACTCCTTCCCTGCAGGCCTCTGCCTCCCTGAAGGACAAATAATAAACATTAATACATATATCTTGGTTCTGTAGCTTCCATTTTCCCTCTATAGCTGCACATGTAAGCATGTGTTGTTCTCAGAGTGGGTATGCTAGTCTAAGAAGGACCCATGTTTTGCTACTTCCAAAATGAATGTGATAGACACTGTTAATTCAATTCTTGAGTACTTCCACTATTTCCACCCCTACTGATTATGTGTCAGCTTCTAACATCAGGTGTCCATTGCCAAAAGAAAATAGGGTCTTCATGGCATCAAAGAATATAGTCAGGTGCCAGTGGCTCACGCCTGTAATCCTAGCTACTCAGGAAGCAGAGATCAGGAGGATCTTGGTTTGAAGCCAGGCGGGGCAAATAGTCCATAAGACCCTATCTCAAAAAAACCCCTGAATTCAAACCCCAGCACTGAAAAAAAAAAAAGAATATATACCAAAACCAATACAAATTTAAGATTACTGACTTAAATTGTTGTTTTCATTAAGTATTAGAAACCTCAATCTAGAAAGGTAAGGTGAATATTACTTACTTGTCCCACACTATCAAAGTCAGCCGCTCTATAAGGGATAGACTCCACAGAGGAAGCGCGACTATATAAGGTGAAACAAAAAACCAGATGTTAAACTTTGACATTGACATGAAATCTCTTCTGTTCCAATACAAGCCTCATTAAAAAATTTTTAAATTTTTCCAATTTTTTTCTTTTCTTTTTTTTTTTTTTTTTTTTTTTTTGGTGGAACTGGGGCTTGAACTTAGGGCTTCATGCTTGCAAAGTAGGAACTCTACTGCTTGAGTCATATCTCCAGTCCATTTTGCTCTGGTTATTTTGGAGATGGGATCTCAAGTACTATTTGCCCTGGCTGGCCTTGAACCACCATCTTTCCAATCTCAGCTTCTCAAGTAGCTAGTTTATGCTAGTTTAAGAAGGATTTATGTTTTGCTACTTCCAAAATGAACGTGAACCACCAATGTCCAGCTTCATCTTCCAACTTCTGCCAACAATTTTAATGTTGCTGTATAGATTTTCTACTCACCTGACTACTTGGCTGCTATGCTGGGAACTGGGTCGTGGAGTAACTGGAAGAGAATAACGTTCAGGAGGAAAAGTTGCCATCAATGGTGTACTCTGCTTGCCTAGCCAATTTGTTTTGAGTGGTAATCTGGTTATATGATCTTTTAATATCATTCATAAAATTAGGAAAATCACATTCTCTCTGAGAGAAAATCATTTTCATACATGGAGAAGATATGTACTCATCCTCATATAGATATTTAGGCAAGAAGTATCATCTACCTGACTGTGATGGGGAAGTAATGCCCACTGGCCGAGGTGTGGCCAACCTGCAAGAAAACAAAAAGAAAGAGGCAGCTCTAATCTTACTAAGCAGAAGTTCAGTGCCATTTAGAAGATCAATCAGATCCCTGATCATAGAAATAGTAGCTTCCTCTTGCCAACACAGATTGCTTGCTTACTGTCAAAGGTGTCTCTATTAAAGATATCATCTCAAAATACAGAAGCAGTTTCACATGAGTTTCCTTTACCCTCCAACTCCCTAAGTGAAACCTTCTCCACTTCTCTTCTGTCCATTCCTTCCCACAGTGCCTTACCAAGTATTCTGTCTTACATCTGTCCATCAATTCATATATCCTTTCATCCTTTTTTTTTTCCTGGCATCGGAGTTTGAACTCAGGGCCTCACACTTGCTAGGCAGGTGCTCTTACTCCTTGAGCCACTCCACCAGCTCTTTTTTTGTAATGGGGTTTTTCAAGATAGGGTCTCCCTAACTATTTGCCTGGGGCTGGCTCTGAACCACAATCATCAATCCTCCTGATCTCTGCTTCCTTTGTAGCTAGGATTACAGGCTTGAGCCACCAATGCCCAGTCCTCGGTTCTTTATCTGTCCATCTAATAAGCATTTATTGTCTATATGTCCTAAATATTGAGATTACAACAATTAACTAAATTAAGGTTCTTCTCTGAGAGACTCACTGGTTAGTAAGAAAGAGAAAAATAAACAGGGCCTTGGTATATAGTTCAATGGTACAGTGCTTGCCTACCAAGGCCCTGGGTTTGATCCCCAGCACTGCAAAGAAAAAAAAAATCACAACAATATTTAAATATTATAATGGTTATATCAATAATACAGGAGTATGAAACAACACTAGGCTGTAACTGATGGAAGTACAGGGGTGCCATGTCTCTTTTAATCCACCAATGCAGGATTTATATTGAAAATATTTAGTGTTGTTGGTAGGACACAGACATCACCAATCAGAAAACACTGGTGTTCTACACAGCACCTAAATAATACCTGATGAACAGTAGGCACTGAATGAATATTTATTAAATGAATGAGTAGACCATCTAACTCCACCTAAAGCAGTTTCTGCAGAGGAAATGATGTGAGTTGAATTTTGAAGGATGAGTAGGATTTCATGATAGTCAAGGGTGAGCTTTACAATCAAGATTTCACTTTAGCTGGGTGCCAGTGGCTCATGCCTGTAATCCTAGCTACTCAAGAGGCAGAGATCATGAGGATTGTGGTTTGAAGCCAGCCCAGGCAAACAGTTCTTGAGCCCCTAACCCAAAAAAACCCATCATAAAAAAGGGCTGGTGGAGTGGCTCAATCAAGGTATAGGCCTTGAGTTCAAGCCCCAGTACTGCCAAAAAAAAAGGATTTTACTTCCATCCTTTCCAGGGAATAACAGAAGTAAAAATAAATTCATCAATCATTTTCTCCATCTTGGAGCCCACAAGGCTAAGAGTTGAGAAAAAAAAAATAGGTTGAAAGCTTTCCAACACAAGGAAATAATACTTAAGGAGAGAGAAATGCTAATTAACCTGATTTGATCATTATACATTGTACACATGAATTTAATTATCATACTATAAATATATATAAATATATGCCTTACATATACCATATATACAGTGTATGTGTGTGTGTGTATATATATACATATATATATATGGTGTATGTGTATGTATATGGTGTATATGTGTGTATATATATATATGGTATATGTGTATATAGGTATATATGGTGTATATATATATATATATACACAGAATATATACATGTATACAATTTATGTGTTAATTAAAATTTTTTAAAAAAGAAAACCCAGAAAATTTCAAGGTAGGGGGTTAGTATAGGAGCTGATAAAACTGACCTGCTTCCTTGGTACCTATTTGGAGATTCCTGTAGGTGAAAAAAATAGGAGTGAAGCAAGCTACAGATCAAACATTCTAATCAATGGTCTTACTTGTTATATATCTCAGCTGCAATGTCCCCTAGTTGTGGTTGCTAAGATTCCCAGTTGGAGAAAAACAGCAGCAGCATTTCCTCAGGAAATTCTTAGCTTTGAGGGAATAAAATTTCAGTTTCTGGGAATCCTATAGACTAATATATGTGGGAAAATATGGAGCATCTCTAGGGAGACTGAAAGAAACAAAGCATGACTACAACGTGCTAGAACAGTTAAAGGAAAGGGTCAATAGAAAAAGTATATAAATACACAGAACATTTTTAGGAAGAAAGAAGTGTCTAGGACATAAGAGTGCACAGAATAAGGATTCAAAGATGTAGCCGGGCGTTGGTGGCTCACACCTGTAATCCTAGCTACTCAGGAGGCAGAGATCAGGAGAATCATGGTTTGAAGCCAGCCCAGGCAAGTAGTTCATGAGACCCTATCTCAAAAAACCTTCACAAAAATAGGGATGGTGGAGTGGCTCAAGGTGAAGGCCTTGAGTTCAAACTCCAGTACCACAAAAAAAAAGAGAGAGAGAGAAACGTATAAGGCTTCTTGAACAGAAATATCAAGTTGCAACATATGTCTCTTCTATGAAAGCCTCCTAACTAGCATGTCATGATCCCCTGATATTTTTGAATGGGTTACAAGTGTGCTAGATATTGATCCTTTCAGCCCTCCAAGGTCTACTGTCGCCTAATTCATTTACTATAGTATGCTTGATGTACAAATATTATCAGTTTTATGTGTACTATGACATGAAAAGGGTTGGAAAGCATTATTTTATATTATCAGCTAGACAGATGGAAAAAGTAGGAGAGAAAATAGTAAAGAAAACCAATTTCACCTTCAGGATGGCTAAAAACTTCTTCAGTTCTCCATTCTCATTTCTTAAGATTGACAGTTCTCTAGGCAAAAGATGGAAAGAGCTCCAGATCAGTATGATAAAACTTATTACTATTACTAATATTATTATCATTATAACATCTTGTTAGTGCTTACTGAGAGATGCTGGCAGATAGACAAAGTATTTCCATTAGGGATCTGGTGATTCAGGGAGAAAATGGCAGGCTTTTGATGGTGAGTACGATCAAGTGAATAAAATAAACAGTTGCTTGGTCAGATTTCAGGGAAGTCTGCATAGAAATCCATTTCCTCTTCACACACAGCAGGCCTGGTCTGCTGATGTCTAAAAGTTTCCATCAACAAATCTATCTTTTAGCTTAAGGTTTCCAAAATACACCCGTCCAGAGATAACACTTTAAATATTATATCTCATTTTTATCAGTGTGAATCAGTTATATCTGGTTTCTTTGAAGAAGCAGGGTTTTTTGTTGTTGTTATTTTTGTGGGATTTTTTTTGGGGGGGTGATACTGGGGTTTTGAACTTAGGGACTCATGCTTCCTAGTGTTCTACCACTTGAACCATGCCTCCAGCCCTTTTTGCCTTAATTATTTTTCAGATAGGGTATCCTGTTTTTGCCTGGGGCCAGCCTCAGACTTAAATCTTCCTACCCATGCCTCCCAGAAGCTGACACCACAGGCATGCACCCCCACATGCAACAATCCCTGCTTGTTGGCTGAGATGTAGACTTGCCAACTTTTTGCCTGGGCTCATGCATTTGCCCATGCTCAGATCATGATCCTCCTACCCCAACTTTCTGAGTAGCTGAGATTACAGGCATAACCACCATCCCAGGCTTATTTTTTGATATAGGGTCTCACTAACTTTTTGCCTGGATTGGCCTCAAATGATGATTCTCTTATCTCTGCCTCCCAAGTAGCTAGGATTACAAGCATTCATCACCATACTTGGCCTAAGAAGCAGTTTTTGATACAGGGAAGTAGAAGAGGAAAGCTATAAAGTGAGGAGGGCCCCTGGAGAGAAGAAAAAAATAAATAAAATGGAGATTGAAGAGACCAACCAAAAATTCTGTACCTGACGTTCCCAAGGCAAACATAAACACCTATGGGACAATTTTCAGTCTTTGCAACCAATAAAGAATACAGCTTCTCTGAAAGAAAAAAAAAAAAACTAACTAGGGATTTGACTTGGCACTTACTTGTCCTGGTTGGCCACTGTTTGCTGTGCCTCCTGCATGGCTGCTTCTAATTTTGTAATTCTATGTTTATAAAAGGCGATGAGAAGATCTGTTTGTTTCTTCTGGAAACGCCACACCTACTAGGGAAAAACAGGCCTTTGATGTACACTCCTATAACTCCCTCCCACTCACTTCTGGCAACAAAGGGAAATCTATCATTCATACTTTAGTACTGCTCTTTTTCTGCACATTCTTAGTGATTACAGAGTGCTGGTGACCAATTTAGTGTCCCTAAAACACTTACAGAGTCACTTGCAGGCTGTTTATGCTGCTGCAGTGAAGGGTAAAGAGACACAGAAGGAGAGTGCCTACTCCTGATTTTTATTTCTGGGCATGGGCACATAATTTTATCTTTTGTGTCACTTCATCACTTGCTATAGTGATGTACCTATCATAGGACTGCTGAATCAGATAAAAAGTTAATCTTTGAAAGCACTTTGGCTTTGTCAGTCTCTACTTTTGAGTACACAGCAGTATTTATGTCTCATCTGCCTCAGCCCTGCTCAGACTATGAGCATTTTGTCAAGGGCTCTTCTCTACATCTCAGTACTTTCCTCACAAACATGTTGCCACCTTACTGCAGAAATGTGCCAAGGTTGCAAAGATTCCTGATAAGAAAAAAAAATCTATCTGTGCAACTGTAAAGAAGGAAAAAGAAACTCATGCTAGTTTTGCCATTAATTTGTTGTTGAACTCTTACTATGCCCATGCCTAACTGATAAATTAAACTTTATCATAGGTATGTGTAAAAGCATAATATGTATAGGTTTCAGTACTATCCATGATTTCAGACATTCACGGGGGATCTTGGACCATCTCTTGTGTTTATGGTTCTAAAATCAGGCAACATCTCAGAGAACAATGAGTGTTCTGATGATCTGAGCAGAAGAGTTGGTTTTATAGGCAGAAAAGGGCTGAAAAAAGCAGATCAGAACTAAATGGATTAGTAGATTTTTGGCGGTGGGACAGAGTCTCATTATGTAGCACAAGCTGAGCTCAAACTTGTGATCCTCCTGCCTCAGCATCCCCAGTGCTGGGATTACAGGTGTATCCCACCACACCCGGCTTCAGGTTAGTAATTTCAAAGTAAATTTCCTTATAAAGGTTAAAGAAGAAAGGACCTTTTTATCATGATGGACACAGGTGATTTGTTTAGAGATTTAGTTATTATCTCTCCTCCTGATTTCTTGGAAGGGCAGATAACTTGGTTTGGACTACTTGATGGCATGGAACTTTAGCATGAGTAAGTCCATTTGGTTTGCTGTATTAAGCCTAGTGCAGAAGCTCAGTTCAAACCAACGGCCTCCTGTAAATTTTAACACATGGCACATAATTTTATTGAAAACACTGTAAAACTTCAGTTGTGAATTAGGTTCATCAAGAGACTAGAGAGCCAGGCATGGTGGGGCACACCTGAAATATCAGCACTCAGGAGCCTGGAGCAAGAGGGTCACAGATTTGAGGCCAGCCTGGCTCCACAGTGAGAATCTGTGTCAAAAAAAGAAAGAGTCTAGAGAGTATAAACAGAAAAACAAGTGAACAATACTGTGCTAGTTAGCTTTCTGTTGCTAAGATAAAATACCTAAACTAATCAACTTATAAGAAGAAAAAGTTTATTTTGGCTCATCAGTTCAGAGATTTTAGTTTGTGGTCACTTAGACCCCTTGCCTTTGGGCCTTTGGCAAGGCAGTATGTTATAATGGGAGCATGTGGCATGGGAAGCCCTTACCTCATGGCAGCTGGAAGGCAAAGAGACAGAAAAAGGCCAGGGTCCCAACATCCTCTTCAAGGACATGCTCCCAAATGACCTAAGTTACTTCCACTAGGCCTCACCTCTTTTTAAAAAAAAATTTTAGGGGGGAGTAATACTAAGGTTTGAACTCAGGGCTTTCTTCTTGCTAGGCAGGCACTCTACCACTTGAGCCACACCCCCAGCCTTTATTTGCTTCTAGTCATTTTTTTGATATGGTCTGAGGATTTGCAGGCCATCCTCAGACCTTGATCCTCCTGCCCATGCTAACATCATCACAGGCATTTGCCATCTCTGCTGGCTTGTTGTTTAAGATAGGGTCTTGCTAACTTTTTGCAATTCTCCTGATCTCCTCCTCCTAGGTAGATGGAATTACAGTGGGTTTGTGCTACCATGCCTGGCTTAGGCCTTACCTCTTAGAGGTTTTGCCACCTCCCAGTAGTGCCACAGGCTGGTGACCAAATCTTAAACACATGGACCTTTAGGAGACATTCAAGATCCAACTATAAGCCGGGTGCCAGTGGCTCACGCCTGTAATCCTGCGTACTCAGGAGGCAGAGATCAGGAGGATCTCGGTTCGAAGCCAGCCCCAGGCAGTTAATTCCATGAGACCCTATCTTGAAAATACCTAACACAAAAAAGGGCTGGTTGAGTGGTTCAAGGTGTAGGCCCTGAGTTCAAACCCCAGTACAGCAAAACAACAACAACAACAAAAAAAAAACAAAGATCCAAACTATAGCAGATACTAAGAGAGGCCCAGTAATGGAAACAAAGGGGGAGCTCAGTAGATTCATTATAAGACATAAGCTATTTTGATCCAATGTGGACTATTAAAAACAAAAGGATTTTGTTTATGAAAGTAATACATGTTTTGGAAATGAGTATTAGCTTGACTGTTTTTTGTACTAAAGAATGCCTTTGCTGGGCAGCAATGGTTTATGCTTCTAATCCTAGCTACTCAGGAGGCAGAGATCAGGAGGATCATGGTTCAAAGCCAGCCCTGGCAAACAGTTTGCAAGACCCTCTCTTGAAAAAACCCTTCACTAAAAAGGGCTGGTGGAGTGGCTCAAGGTGAAGGCCCCGAGTTCAAGCCCCAGTACTGAAAAAAAAAAAAAAGCCTTTTCAGGTGGAGTGGCTCAAGAGGTAAGACCTCCTCTGCCTCACAAGCGTGAAACCCTGAGTTCAAACCCCAGGGCTGCCAAAAAGAAAAAAAAAAAAAAAAAAAAGAAATGCCTTTCATTTTGTATGTGTATGTTTGTGTGTGTGACTGAGGTTTAACCTCAGGACTTCATGCTTGCAAAGCAGCCACTCTGCCACTTGAATTATACCTCCAGTCCATTTTGCACTGGTTATTTTTTAGATAGGTCTTGAGAACTATTTGCCCAGGCTGGTCTTGAATCTTGTTCCTCCCGATCTCAGCCTCCCAAGTAGCTAGGATTGCAGGCATGAGCCACCAGCACCTGGCTCATAATTCTTACATTTTATTTTATTTTTTGGTGGTACTGGGATTACTTGTTAGGCAGGTGCTCTACCACTTGAACAACTCCACCAGCTTTTTTTGTGTTGCGTATTTTTGAAGTAGGGTCTCCTGAACTATTTGCCTAGGCTTGCTTTGAACCATGATCCTCGTGCTCTCTGCCTCCCAAGTAGCTAGGATTACAGGTATGAGTCACTAGCACCCCTCTCCATAATTCTTATTTTTAAGGGTTAGTTTTTATTTAGTTAAAGACTTACTTTCCCAAGCAGTTTTAATGTTTTTTCAGTACTGGGGTTAGAACTCAGGGCCTTGCCCTTGCCAGGCAGGTGCTCCCAACCAGTTTTAATCTTTTGAGTATGTGTAAAGGAACTGCTACATTTTAGAAATTTCTTTTAAAGTTATCAGTAAATTCACTATCCTCCTTTGACATTCAAAACCTATTACTTTGCTTTATTTATCTTTTGTGAAACTGACTCCTTCATTCCACAATGAAGAAGTCTACAGGTCTTTTTTTTTTTTTTTTTCCCCTTACAGGTCTTAATATTTTTTAACTGTATCTCAGAATAATCACTTGCTTAATAAAATAAAATTTCTCTTTAAAAAGTATTCAAACTAAAAAACTGAGAAATGACAGAATTTAATATCAGTATTTTGCAACTTCTAATGGTTTAATGGATCTCTGCAGAGTTAATCATGGCTATATCATATAAATGACATAGATACTTCTTGGTAGAATGCAACACTGCTGTAAAGTAGTCCTGCCTCACCTTTCCCCAAATCAAATGATGGTGATTAAACCTAAATTTGCCTATCAACTTCTAGGAAATAGAGGACAGAGGAGCATATTAAATGACTCTACATGGGCTAGGTTCGTAGCTTAAAAGGACAAGCTTCTGCCTGGCAAGTGCGGGGCCCTGAGTTCAAACCCCAACAACCACTCACAAAAAATGTGACTCCATGAGTGGGATAAACAAAATCCACACTATTGAATAATTCTATAAGAAAAAGACAATTTTCTTTAATAATTAAAAAAGAGCTAGGTATGTGGTACATGTCTATAATCTCAGCACTTCAGAGTTTAAGGCATGAGGATGGGAAGTTCAAGGCCAGCCTGGGCTACATAGCGAAACCCCATCTCAAAGAATATACATAATAACAAGAAGAAAAGAAATAGTGAAACTTAAGGGTTAGCAGAGTGGTTCAAGTGGGAGAGCACCTGCCTAGCAAGTGCAAGGCCCTGAGTTCAAACCCAGTATCAGCAAAAAAACAGTAAACTTAAGAGACATAACAATCAACTGAAATAGACTTTATTGAAACCTAATTCAAACAAACTAAAAATAATTATAAGACAATTAGGAAATGTGCTAATTATCTGATAAGTTTTAGGAAATTACTATTTTAAATGATTAGTTACATTTATATTTTATATGTAATCTTTTATCTTTTACCGATACACACTGAAGCATTTACAGGTTAACATGATATAGTATCTGGTTTTGATTTCAAATTAGCGTGGTTAGGGTGGTTAGAGGTATAGATGAAGGAAAGTTGGCCTCGGCTGATAATCACTGAAGTAGGATGATGGATACATGGAAATTCATTATATTATACATGTCATATATGTTATTTTCTCTAGTTCGAGATAATCAAAAGTCAGGCATGCTGGTACACACTTGTAATCTCAGTACTTGGGTGTCTGAAGCAATAGGATCATGGATTCAGCTTGGGCTAACCTGGGCTACCATAACAAGACCCTGTCTCAAGAAAAAAAAAGACACAAGATATTTGAAATTATCTATGATAATTTGGATTACATGCCTGAAATCCTA